TTGTGAATCATAACATAAATTGTTTGTCTGTAGTTAGCCCACCAACCCTTATTATTTGTTCATACCCTATACTTTTTTTTGCAGTGATAAAGTTTTAATCGCCCTTCTTTATAGCCCATTTGCAATATTAAGAATGTACATATTTTTGTTTGATCTGCTCCATAAAAGGAAGTGTTGGAACTACACTGGAAATATTGTAGGAGTAGAAAAATAAAAAAAAAAGTTCGATTTGTGATTGGATTTTAACCTGCAGTGATAATTTCTATTATTGTGGTCGGAAGGCATGGTGGTAATGCGCTCACCTTTCATATAGTTGTCCGGTGTTTGATTGCAGGAACAGTGTAAAAAGATATGGGGTCACCTAACTAACCATGTGAGTTTCTTACCGTACTCTAGTTACTCACAGTGAAACCCTTTTCCATTTAACCCAAAAAGAGTGATAAATATAAGTTGGAATAACTTTTTTTTCAATTGTTGTGAAATGAATAAAAGTTATGTTTAAATTTCTAATAATCATTCCCAATATTGAAATTGAGACCAGTCATTCTATATCAGTTAGCTTCAGATCCTGCATAACACCACAGATGTAATGTGAAATGATGACAAAATGTTTCGCCCAAAAGATTAGCACATTTGTATGTAGAGGGATGGTAATATGATTGAAGTTTTAATAGATAAATCAATGCAAGTTGACCAGTCCAGGAAAGTGACCAGCCCCCTATGCTGGTCATTGTCTGTAATTATGGTGATTTCATGTGGACTGTGTACTGCCCACTGTCCCCATTGTCCAGCCCAACAAGCTTGCGTGTGACAGGAAAACAGATCAAAAAGTAAAGGGTATTATCTGTAACGGCCTGAGAGAGATAAAAACACTTGAGAGTGACCTCTGAAATTGAGCTTAGTCCTACTGGTCAACTGGTCATCTTATCTCGGGTCAGCCACATGTACTTTGGCTTTTAAAACTGGTCTAAACAGATGTTTGGACATGAATTATTATACAGACTTGTGTACTCTTAGGCACATGTAATGTTGTCTTAATGGTGGACACAGACAGGTTTACAGGAAACTCCCTTCAAAAAACCTTAAACAAATATTAGAACACCTAGCAGCCACCTCCTCACACTCGACCAAATATGGTCTTACTCTCTTTGTTCAAGTGGCAGTTGTTTTCCTTTTAAGCTGTCTAATGTAAAATCAAGACACTTTTTCCTTTCAACCATTTTTTGAATGAAATGAGTGTGGCCATCGCCTACCGCTTTCCAGAAAGCATTCCTCATTATGCCAGAAGTTTTAGTTTTGTGTAAACAGACTGTCCTATTTATGCGTTTGGGACAGGATGTTTATAAGCATGTGTTTTAGGTGTTTTATATCCATTTGTGTAAAGATAATCTTTATTTATCAGAAGTAAACATAAGTTTTGTCTCCCAGAGTTACTGGCAATCCTTTGTTGATTGTTTGGATGGGCGAAGGCACTTGATGTCAATTACATGTAGATCAGTAATGTTACATTTACCTGATAAGTTCCATGCTTTACTGAAGACATTCTGCGAAATGTAGAAAATGGACTTGTTCATCAACCACTGCCTCATGGAATGGGTTTTTGTTATATGTTGCTTGTTGTTTTTATCCCGTGTGAAATGTATTTTCGGGGGATATTAATTTTGGCTCCCTCTGTGCGCGTGCATGTGTGCATGCACGCATGCATCTGTTCGTCAAGGGCTTTTTGGGGCTATAACTATAAAACCCAACTTCACAAAACTTGCTGTATATATTAAGTTAGTGCCCTAGTTGTGCCTTATGCTAATGATGACATTTCATTTTCTTCATTTTTTCTGTTACCATGGAAACATATTAAAAAAACACAAAATTACCACAGTTTAATGTTTCCCTTCCAGACTACAACTTTGAAACCATTCCACTCAACTCCAGAAAATTTTCTGTATATTAGGTTAGTGCCCTAGTTGTGTCTTTTCTTATTCAGGACATTTTATTTTTTTATCTTTCTTCTGTTACCATCAAATTTTTCCATTTCTTGTGACTTCTTGTATTATTCCAAATCTTATAGGGTGTTGCATAAATTAGTTCATGGACAAAACCAAGCTTTATTGAAATATTGACAGTCAAACACACAGGATCTACATCAAGATATGAACTCTTACTATTAGGTTGATATATATTTATAATGTTGAAGTTGAAGAGATGCAAGGAAATTTTATTGATGATTAACAAAATAAGATGTTACATTTTGCACAAGCACTTTTCACTGTATTAGATCTTCAGGGGATACTGGTGGTACATAATGAAGTGACATCAAAAATATGTATATATTGTATTTGGGTTTCACATCAACAAGTCGATGCATGGGGAAAATGCCACGCTTTGCAGCTCCTTATTTTTTTTCTTTCTTTTCAAAGTGAAACAATTTTTTGTTTTCTTAATGATATGAGGTTTTGTGTGAAGAAAAACATACACCATCGTCTGAATTTTATATGAGAATGATTTCAAGTACATAGATATGATTTTATCAAAATGGAATTTGATTATACAAGATAGGAGTATTATAAACAACAGAGACAGGCTCATTATCAGTGAGTATTGTTGTGTTATCGTGACCTCTTTATCTCACAACTCGTACTCTGTAACTTCTATTTCATACCACATCAAGTCTTACTTTAGTGATCGAAAAATAAAACAAAAAAATATATATTTCGTATAATCAATTTAATCATAGGTATTCCTGTTTCAATAATTACCAAGATCAGCCAGCATCACTGGAATGTTAATACAACATTAATATTCATTGTATCTGACCTACAATTATCAGGGAGTGATATACAAAATACTGACGAAAGAATTCAAACTCAAAATATAAACAAAAGAAAGATTCATACTGTACAATGAGAATAAGACCAGGTGCTCCGGAAGAATAAGTGTCTTCTGATAGATTGATGACACCCGCTGTGTCAGTATTGGTCAATCAAAGTAAGAAACATCATGTTCTCAATCACGAACAAGGTGTGTTTACAATATCAGAACTAACAGGTAAACTAACGAGCATCAAACACATCCAGTGGCGTATCGCACAAGGAAATAGAATATTTCCCAATCAGATCTTTATGATAACGTTTAAACTTTTTTAAACATAATTTTCATCAAATTCTTTTTCAAACGCTTTTCATGAAAATGGTGATATTGTTAACAAACCCTTGAATATTGCTGTTTGGTTGGCCTACAAATGCTTGCTGTTTTTATAGTTTTGCTATTAACTGTGAAATCTAGGTCTCTGTTATAATTCATAACATTATGATATATCTATGTTCTTGATATCTTGGACTGGTAGTATTTGTTGACAAATCACATACACCAAACATTTAAGGGAATTACAAAACATGAAAGATCTCATCGCATTTAGTTCTGATACTATAATTACACAAGTTTAAGCTATAATCATATGTTAGTGTTTCTAGTGCTGAAATATTATGCTAATTGCCGTTTCTGTATCCACTCTTGAAACTCTATAATTATTATGGATGCGTAAATTCATCATTGAGCTAAAATTTGATTATGCTAAATAGTATACCTTTGTTTGCGAGATTTTTTTTTAAGAAGAACAGCTAAAACTGGTCGCTGTATCATGACGGAGAGAAGTGGCCAGCATGTAATTTTTAAAATCATGGCTCAAAGCATTTTTTTAGGTTACCTGCGACAAAGTCTCATGGTGACCTATTGCATTCGCTATTTGTGCGGGGTTTTGCGTCTTTTGTCTGTGTTTCATGCGTCCATAAACTTTAAACATTTTTGACTTCTTCTGAAAAACCCAAGAACTGATTTCAACACAATATAGCAGAAGCTTTCTCTGGCTTAAAATGATCCCAAATAGTGAATTAAATGGTCTTCACACCCTTGGGATCTGAGGGGTGAAATTGACTCAGATTTTAAAAACCCCCTTCTGAACATCCAAATATGGAAGAATCATGTACTGTTCTAAGATGGAAGGGTCTTAAAGTGCTTCACCAAAATTGTGAATTTTGCATTTCCCCTTGGGGATAGAGTTACGTTTAATGAAATTTAAATGGGAAAGCCACATGTTTTAGTATTTGTTGAATTTCCATCGGAAATTTTTCGAACTTTGTCAGAATTATTAGCCAACAATGACCAATAATTATTACCAAGTTGTTTATTTTCTACTGGTAATAATTACCAGTATAGGATGACAGTATTTATCGACAATGGTTGCCACAGAACCTTTATATGCAGTATTGCTTATTTTAGGTGACTGTTAAGGCTGATAGGTAGGCCTCTTGTTGTTTGATAGGTGTTTTGTAATAATTTGTACTCATTGCCCAAAATTTATGACTTCCGTGAAAACATGTCTTACTGAGGACCAGATATGGAAACAAATTTGGCATAGAATGTCAGAACCTTCAGTTTCATTGATTGATGTCCTCAGTGCAGTGGATCTTCTAAAAACCTGAATGAATATGCACATATTAATGACGTCATTTTCTAACTGAGTTTCGAGAGTACTTGTCACATGACCAGCACTGTGTCTGATTTGCTACACATGTCTAAGTAATGTGATTCATCCCTGGTCTGTAATCTCCATTATCTGAGGAGCAGGTATTACAGAATCCAAAATAATGGATAATGAAAAAATTCATTGAAGCGAATCATACAGGAAGAAAAGGAAGAATAGAAAAGAAAGGAACAGAGCAAACTTTTTAAGAACAAATAAAGACCTTTCAATAGTAGGTGTCAATATATCAGACATCAACAATAAGAAATTATATACATGCATTAATTAGGCTTCCATCGTGGTGGACCATGCAGATATTGCTGTTGGCTAGATCATGATGTGATAAACATATTTACCGTAGCTTGTGGAAAAAATTTGCCCGGTTCTGTGTATTAGTTTTATGTGTATTTACACACATTCTTCAAAGGTATGACAGTTCTACCAAAAATATCATCAAAATATCCCTGGACATCAGTGAAATAGGATGACGGACTTCAGGTTGGAGGGTGGTGAAAAAGTTTCCTTTATGGCTGAACAGGGTATGTTAATGATGATTTGATCAAATATGCTAGCACTGGAATACTTCTTTAATTTGAAATTTCTTTTTTTTATCATGTCCATGAATTTGTCAGTGAATTATCTCATTATTAGAACCTTACAACAAGTTTTTTTTCAATTTTTAATTGTTTTGTTATCTTATTAAGATAACTTGTAAGACCTTGTTTCCTAACAATAATTTCAGGATATTTAATAACTATCACAAAGCATTTTTATTCTTCAGTGAGGCTTTGTATGGTTTCAGTTTTTCCACTACCTATCTGTAATAGTCACACTTTTCACCACAATAGTCATACAGTGAATTGAAGATTATGCTCTTTTAAATTTATCAACACTTCAATATAAATGATATACAAATTTTATTTCTACTTTCAAAAGCCAGATTTCAACTATATCATCATTACAGACAGAATTGTTAATAATTCTAAGGAATAATTGCTTTATTTTCATTGATTAAGCATATAGAATTTTTTTTTTTGGCAATTTTGTCCACCTAACAAAGAATTTATGGTTGTTATTAACTTCAGTTAATTGGTCTTTGAAGACAGGTGTTACCTTGGTTATAGTGAGTTTGGTCTGTGAAGACAGGTTTTACCTTGGTTATAATGAGTTTGGTCTGTGTAGACAGGTTTTACATTGGTTATAATGAGTTTGGTCTGTGAAGACAGGTTTTACCTTGGTTATAATGAGTTTGGTCTGTGTAGACAGGTTTTACATTGGCTATAATGAGTTTGGCCTGTGAAGACAGGTTTTACCTTAGTTATAATGAGTTTGGCCTGTGAAGACAGGTTTTACCTTGGTTATAATGAGTTTGGTCTGTGTAGACAGGTTTTACTTTGGTTATAATGAGTTTGGTTTCTGAAGACAGGTTTTACCTTGGTTATAGTGAGTTTGGTTTCTGAAGACAGGTTTTACCTTGGTTATAATGAGTTTGGCCTGTGAAGACAGGTTTTACCTTGGTTAAAATGAGTTTGGCCTGTGAAGACAGGTTTTACCTTGGTTATAATGAGTTTGGTTTCTGAAGACAGGTTTTACCTTGGTTATAGTGAGTTAGGTCTGTGTAGACAGGTTTTACCTTAGTTATAATGAGTTTGGTCTGTGTAGACAGGTTTTACATTGGTTATAATGAGTTTGGTCTGTGTAGACAGGTTTTACCTTGGTTATAATGAGTTTGGCCTGTGAAGACAGGTTTTATCTTAGTTATAATGAGTTTGGTCTGTGTAGACAGGTTTTACATTGGTTATAATGAGTTTGGTCTGTGAAGACAAGTTTTACCTTGGTTATAATGAGTCTGGCCTGTGAAGACAGGTTTTACATTGGTTATAATGAGTTTGGTCTATGTAGACAGGTTTTACCTTGGTTATAATGAGTTTGGCCTGTGAAGACAGGTTTTATCTTAGTTATAATGAGTTTGGTCTGTGTAGACAGGTTTTACATTGGTTATAATGAGTTTGGTCTGTGAAGACAAGTTTTACCTTGGTTATAATGAGTTTGGTCTGTGAAGACAAGTTTTACCTTGGTTATAATGAGTTTGGCCTGTACAGACAGGTTTTATCTTAGTTAAAATGAGTTTGGTCTTTGAAATTGTAATTGAGAGAGGTACAGTACTGGAAGTTCATGATACTTATGTTTTCTAGGAAGTGGTCTAAGTAAAGAGCTAATGACAAGTGTCTGTCATTTTCGTAGCCTGCAGTCTTATCACACCTGAGGGGATGTGTGTGGGTTATATCTAGTAAAATGTACAGAATGCATTCCTGTGGTTTCACCAACTTTTTGGAGGAAGCAATGAACACAGAAAATGACCAACACAATTTCCTACTCAATTAAATGTGAATACCAATGGATCTCTTCAATTAAAGGTGGGTGGATTGCCCTGAATAAGTTTTCTCCCATTTCTACCTAATTGAATGCGGCGAAGTCTTGAATTGTTTCTGTTTCGGATGGAGTGACCAGAGTTGACTTTTCTTTGTTTTCAGTTTACATTGTAAATTGGAATCAGCTTTCTTTGGTAGACGCAATTCCTCATCGCCATACATTTCACTTTCAGACCTGAAAATTTATTTTTTGCATTCCTGCAATGAAGCAATGAGGAAGGTATATGTGTTTAAATTGGCTTGTCAAGACAGAGTATTACAGAGTAAAAAATATGCTACACAGAATATTGGATCACTGACACAATTTAATTTGATTTTGGAACAAATAGAAAAAACAAAATGGCTGACAGAAGACCATCTCGGATTTTCACAATAAAAGTTTATTATAGCTATTTTATGAGAAGCACTTAAAAAGGATCTATTGTAGAATTTGACTGTGAAAGTTTGTTTTAGCTATCTCTTGAAGTGCTAGGAGGATCGGTCTTCAATTTATCTTTTTGATTTTGGGACTGATCAGAAAAACAAAATATATTTCATTTGAGGAATTTTCAACTTTGATATGATTAAGAGCAAAAGTAAGGAAAGGAATGGATCAAATTGAAAAGCTTCAATTCTTAAAGAACGTTCAATGACCAAACAGTGGTGGTTAGCAAACTCACTCTGGGATCTTGTTTCAAAAAAGTATATTTGAAAATACTTTGGGAATAGTAAAAGACCATAGGAATTTTTATCAAGGAGATGTTGCAATGCTATTAAATGAACGTTGGTTCAAATAAAATGAATTGGAAAATTTATCATGTGAAAATAAAAAATAAACAACCCAGGTGTGGGTTTTAAGGTGAAATGTCACTTAAGATATGATTGATGGAGTAGGAAGTTACCTGTAGTTTGTGGAGGTGTCAAAAACATGGCTACCTTAGTTGGTACGATGATGGATGGTGGTTTCTACCCTGCTTGTACATACAGTTAAAAATTCTTAAGGTACAAAAAATTTGCCTTTACAGTTGTTTTTGTCGGTTCATTTTGCCAGATGTCTAAAGCTAAAAAAGTACAACATAGAAGAACCACTGAAAATTTGTTCTCTTGTTCAGAGATACATTTTTGATAAATTTATGTTTCATTGCAGTAAAATCAATGTTATTTCCCTTATCATACTGTTATCTATCCATTTCAATTAGGATTGAAATCTTGAGAATTTTCCTCGTGATTTTGTAATAAAATTTTAAGATTTTATGAATGTTAAAGAGTACCAACACAGTACATACTCCTGTGCAGGTAGAGTGCAATCCATTAGCCTGCTGTAATGAGTAAAAAATAATGTTCAAGAAAAAAATAGCCAAGAGGAGACGTTGATGAAATGCAAAATATGAAACATGAAAGATACATGGAATCAAACTTTATCCGAAACAACTTCCTTTTGTAGATATGATTTAAAAATCAATAACCTGGTTACCTCATGCTGAAAGTTTTTAAATGGTCAATTCATTACTTGTTATCTGGACAAGTCAGTCAGTGGTCAGTGTAAAATATCTGTGTAGCTGTGGACTTATCTCTGACCAGTGTCCACTATTATATAAGAGTTTTGGATCTGGCCTGTGTTTTTCCTCACCATAGCTACAGTATCAAGGTTACATAACTCTGAGTCCCCCCCTAATTATGTTTTCTGACAGCAGAGCTGCAGAGCACCTCCCCCTTATCAGACTTATTACAGGGGCTCCACACAGGGAAATCTGTTTATTTTGTGTTAAAGATCTAAACAGTATGCTAAACATTTCATTTCCTTTGTCATGGGTGAAATGTATTTGACTTCTGACAGAGTTTTCTTCATTAACACTAAACTATTTTATTCCACCAAGTGTATCCATGCATTATTGTTACTGAAATAATAATAAAAAAATACATTATTTAAAGTTTAAGCTACAAGAAAAAACTTCGAAATCTTGAAATTGAGGTCAGATATGATTCTCATATGTGCATTAGTGGTCATCGTGTTCAGACAGTAGTCAGTATACAAATAGTGTTCAGTGTGTACAATGGTCAGTGTTAATACAGTGGTCAGTTTGATCAGATAGTGGTCAGTTCAAACAGTGGTCAATATATAGTCAGTTGTCAATGGGTAGTGGTTACTGTGCAGGCAATAGTCAAAACATATAGGTAATAGGCTGTATGTTTTATACAGTGGTCAGTGTGTGTAGGAAAAGGTCAGTTTACTGCAGTAAAGCAGAATTTAGTTGCTGCAGGGTTAATACAGAGTTTTCCCTGTAACAAATGTGACTTGACCATCGGTCAATCTGTATCAGCTGTCTATGACATAATACTTTTCTCCATATCTATCTAATTATATTTTCTGACAGCAGGATATAGAAAGTCTCTAGATTATGGTTTCAATGGGAATTCTGTGAAAGCATGAGAAGTGGGAGTTACTATGGACATAACTCTTGATGACACAGTAACATAAGCCTCCTACCATAATTATTTTTGCCTGCTGCAGAAAATTCTGTTTATCTTCTAGATGTGATAGGAGGGGATCATTAGAGGCAACCTGCAGGGATTTATCTGAAATGTAAAAGTTTTCACCTTTTTTTCTGGAAAAGGGGAACCAAATGGGGTCATAAGAGGAACCAAATGTTTTACTGGTGATTAAATGATTTTATGGATGTTCTTAATCATTGATTCTGTTTATATGTCATCGATACCAAAAAAAAACATTATCTTCGCACTAGTGGATCATTTAATGTCAATGAAAATGTACAGATATTGTTTTTTTGGAAAACGTTGAAATTTAAATCCCACAAAAATGTGTGGCTTTAGAGTAGTTATATTTGGAACGGCATTAACACAATTTTGTTGTCATTTATATATTCTTTTAAATAATTCTAACTACTTTTAAGTTCTTGGAAGACAGTTGCCTGTATTTTTACCAGTTACTTAGACAAATAACTTGACTGAAGGTTCAAGGTCAGTGCAGCCTGCGTTTTGATCTTTAATCTACACATTGAAACAAGAATAAAGTTGTATTTATTTACATGCATTTTATGAAAATTTTTCAGATATATGAAATTCAAATAAGAGAACTACTGGGAATATATTGCTATCATAAAGCAAAG